CTAAATTACATCTCTTCTTGTAGGTATAAAAGCACCCAGGCACGGTATCTCCCTATACCGACAAAGTGCTCTGCTACGAAACTCTAAAACGGTGAGGACGTTAGTCACTTCGCTGTGACATTATTTCCTATGGAGCTTAATGTACACGTGCAGACACAGTCAAGCATCTCAACTTCCCCCTCTGCCTTCTGTGTGTTTCTTTTCTCTCCGTATTGTCCTCTTGTGTTTTTGAGTTGATTTTTCTTCCGCAGCTACTCCGGAGCCCGGGTTTCCACAAGAACAGGATTCTTCTGTTGTTGACGAATGGTACCCGTCCTTACGATGTCTGCATCGACCTAGCGTCCTGTCGCTTGTCTTGCGTCCCGAAATGTAATGTATTCAAAATTGAGTCTGAAAAACGCTAGTCTCAGCAAGTAAGTCGCTGACTGTCGTCCAAGATAAACTCCATAGATACCCCAGCCCCACCTCATGAGACATACTACAGTGGCAATAGCATTTAACTGTTGTATATTTAAACGTGCGCTCAGCTCAGAAATCGATTGGGCGACGATGACTTGGGGTGTGAGCTTTTCGCGGCTATTGATGACGACGCCTTGCCTGCTATTATGTCTACCTGCAGAAGTTTCAGTGTTGCAAAATGTAACTTCTGTACAGAGTTATGATTTGTGGGTTGGCGGGGAAAGAAGAATAGTAAGTGAAAAATCAGCGTAGATTTGTACTACAATCCAACCGTAACTAACTCGCTCTTTTACTAACTGATGCCTAAGACAGCGAGTACAAAACCATTTGCAAGGGGTAAAAATGACTGACCAGAACTAGCGATACATGCTTTATTGGCCAACAAGAAAAACGGCGTAAGATGTCGATATGGAAAAGGCGAAAACTCAGATATGTTGAAAAGGTCGCGCGCCTTCTGTCTGACGCAGTGCTATGATTATCGTTTAGCGCTTCGGGTCAATGAATCTGTTGGTACAATGGGATGCATCGATTTAAGCATTATTCTCTTCTGCTTCTGGCATTTTAACATTACTTGATATGTTTAAACTTTCAGCTCGATTTGGATCTGTTCCATTATCGTTATTCTTGCGATACCGTTAATTACTTGTAACAGAATGTATATTCACGGTCCTTCTTCGTGCTTGATATCTGTATTGATAAATAAACAAACAAACAACCTAGAAGCACATTCGTGCACAATTTAAACTCGCTCACTAAAAACGAATAATCATCACCATTCAAGGACGCTGTCAGAACATTACTATACAATAATAGCTAATTTTATTTTATGGCCGTTTATCTGTTGCCACTTAAACCGGACGTCACTGGAAATCACTGCACTTATAGGAGGTACGCAAAGCTATAAGACACAATAATAAAAACTAGATACGATGATAATTTTAAGGTAGTATCACAACGATATAGTCGCATTAATAATAGCTGTCACTAGCAAAGTAGCTAAATGGACCGTAATAACAGTGTCTCTGCGTGTGAAATTAATTTTTCTCAAAGTTTCTTAAGCCATTAGAGATGTCCAGTGCAGTTAGTGGGATATTCATGGTGATCGGTCAGTCATACGTCCGGTCGTCCTGGCACGTCGATGGCAGCGCCATCACGAGCCAAACACTCTTTCCGCGTTACACATGTCAGATGATTTTGTTTCTATTTCAGGTCAAATGCCGCACTCAGCAATTAATAATTTTATGAAACGCTATGTAGTCGCTATCCCACAACCTGGTGATTCGGAGAATTTCAATGAACTCAATAGAATCAGCTCGGCAAAGTTTACATTTCGGCTTGATAGCTGCATGACAGGTTTGCACATTAGAGGGCGTGCTTCTCAACCATCACCACGATGGAGGTCAACAGCAATAGTTGTTAGGAATGAATGCGTAGCATCGATGGGAGTGAATGAATGACAGCAGCACTATCGTCCCAGGCCAAGTCAGGTGAGCAAGCGCTTCACCCATGGCGGCTTTACAATAAATGGCCGCCACCACCAACAACAACTGTTACAATGGCCCCTTAGGACTAGTTCAGTATCATATCAGCGGCCAGTTAAGCAGAACATTTGAACTGTTTGACTTCGCTCAGGTTCTACTATTCGTTTTTGCCATCGTTTTTGACTTTTGTCGAACAGCAGGTCCTGCAAATACGAAGCGTGTCTAACTATATCTATGTTGCGTATATAAAATAAGTATATGAAGAGCCAGACAAACGCATGAAAGCATCAGACATTTACGTAGGTATAGATAAAATATGTAGGTAAGCGTATTTTACTAAAGAGCAATAATCAACTTCTAGCGTCTATAAGCTAGAAGCTGAAAGCAGAAAACTTTAGTTGCGCGGCAAACAAATTTTACGCAATTTGGAACCTAAAACATATCTCTCCACCGTTAGCTTGCTACAAAGTCTTCGACGCTTGCTTAAAGTTGTTCGTAAAAGTCGAAAGGTAATAACATCATAAGCTGTCACCCGAAAAAGTAGTCTGTCAAATATATTATGGTAAATAGTTCCTAATCCGTGTGCCAGTCTCAGTCAATTGATGATAATATAGTTATTACAATTTATTATAATTATTCCCCACAAACATTGACCATATATTGAAAACTCATATGTTTAGAAACCTATCTTGGTAATTTGGTTTCTTGGGAAGCTCTTCGCCGTAGAGTTCTGAAGTTATGTCATCAGCTAATTTTTCGGTTGACGAGCATAGAGCAAATGAGTTTACAAATAAAAGCTTAGTTTTATAGATGAGGCGGAACGATCATCTGCTTTCATTGCTAAGCCAGCTTACAATACAAAAAATACTATTCCGTATTCTGTTATATGCCTTTTCGATATCTGATTGGATTAGCTTAAAAGCCTTACAAGCATATGAACAATAAACAACAAAGACGTTGACCGAAAAAGGAGCAGTTTCTCTTTGGAGCTGGTTCGACGTCAATAGAAAGCAGGGGGGCGACGGGACTTTTCATCGACTCGTAAATTCTTGCTCTTATTCGACTCCAGCTGATCGCTGTCCGCCCTACAGCGGCGTTTGCAGAGATTTCTAGAGAGCGAATAGGCAAAAGGTAGAATTATTTAAGGTAACGTGTGACGATGAACGGATTGCCTTGAGATTTACAACCTTCTTGGATGTCTCGTGCAATGCGCTTTCTTCAGTGCAAGAACGCGAAGACTCTTTTGCTTAAGCAGCGCAGAGCTCTAGTTTTCGGAACGAAACACGTCTAACATCAAAGTGTGTGCCCAGTGGTGCGGCTAATGTATGCTTATCGCCTTGCTTCAACGAGGAACCCCTTTTTAGGGGTAAAAACGACGTCTGATAAAGTTCCACTGCTGAACGGACTTAAGACGAGAGACGCACCGTACCGACTCCACTAACCCCTGATGAACGGCCACTTTAGTCTCAGACATACGGCCGAGCTGATCACATTCGTTGTCGTCATAGCTGTCATCTCAGCGCATGACTTTGAACGCTCCTCTTAATCCTTTGCTGAATTCAACAGTTAACTAGTTGTGAGCGTTTTATTGCCTGTTTGACGCTACCGGGATCCCGATAGCGGATCTGAGGTAGTTGCACGGCGGAGCAACGACATTTAGGTGAATGTTCCTTGATTTCAATTTCAGTGATCAAATTTGGTTTATTTTTAACTGCGTATATTATTTTCGTATATGAACGATTTCAGTGTGAAGAGAGTCACGTCAATTTTAACTAAAATCAAAAAGATCGCTTTTTTTCTATAGTTAATCAGATGATCGAGAGTACCCAGAAGAACAAGCTGAGTATAAGCTGAGATATAGTGCTGCCGACATTTTGGTTTGACGTGTGTTCTTTTAACTGACACTTATTAAAGAAGATGTACATTTAGAAAATCGTTTCACCAGGTGCTGTTGCAAGGTTCTACTACATATGATTAATCTTCAAATTTTTACTTTTTTGTGTCTCGGCATAACTTATCAGGTAGAATATCAAAAGCCTATTTACACCTGTGATCTCCTTCGAAATAGCTGTTGCAAGTCACAGTTTAATATTTGAAGGGTTTCTCCAGTTCAGCACTTGGTAGGTCCAATTTTGAAGGTATTTTTTATAATGATACCTAACCACTACGAAAGTGTGTGATCAAAATTATTATAAATGGTCGTTCGCTAGCGCTGATACGGCCAGCTTCTACGTGTTTTAGCTTGCATCGAAATCTTGGCATTTAAGGCAGCAAAAACCGGAGGGGTGTCATAACATATATGTATAGAGGATATCCAAAGCATTATGAGAGTTCAGCTGAGCATATTCATTGCATAGACCATTAGTTCTTCGACACGATTTGGCTGGACCAGTACTTTCATTGGGTTTACTTTTAGCTCGAGCTGAAATACGAATTCTGTCATCGTTTTTGCCCCTTTCATCGCCCCTGAAACAAAAGCTCTGTCCCACACTATAGACCGAGCTCAAGTGTTTGTGCGCTTGACAAAATACAAACTCTAGCGTAAGAGAAATCGCTAAGCTTCACTATGTTATTAGGTTATTCGTTATAAACAATAAACTAAAGCATGTATTGTACTTACTTGAAATTATGACAATACATTTACAACAATATATCATTTTTATTGAACACTAAGTTGAATTGTTTTTATCACAGCACATGACAAAGCTTTTTAAATCATCCTTTCTAATAACAAGACCTTAAAGGGAACCTAAACTACCACTCGGTAAAAAGCTGGATCTTTTGTAATACTGCTACACTTTTTAGTATTATAATATCTAAACACCAGGCGTCTATATAACAGGTAAGGGTGGAACGGTTTGTGCATGAGATTAAGGTTTATGACGATTGAATTTGAACTGTGAGTAGCCGTTGTTCTTAACAGTATTTGGCCAGACACAATCAACTTGTAAGAAATATCTCAATTGTACCAGAGCAATGCTGGAAGCACGTTTGTATTCCATCGTTCCCTGAAGTACTCATTTCCAAGCCGTCATATGAGTTACACTCCTGAATAGCTATTTACCAGGGCCTCCACATGTTGGCAGCACCAGGAACGACTTGGATGGCTTCCTTCCTGTCTTCGTCGCTTTCTTCTCCTGAGGAGTCAGATCTGCGGTGACGGACTTTTCGCCTTTTCCCCAAACAGCCATTAGGTGGGATGGTATTTTTCTCCGCACATTGACGTTGTTCAGGCAATTGGAAGGCCTCACAAATAGGTGACGGTGGTTCAGGTGATGATGAAATGTACAATGATGATTCTTGACGGCTGGTTTCAGGCCCTGCTCCGCAGTCCACGTGTTTCTCGTGCAGGAAGCGCACCGTTAACTCTAAGATGTCAGCTTTTTCAACACGTTTACATGACCCTTCTGGGTCAAGTTTCTTGTCACGAATCCCAGAGTCCAAAAGGAACTTGCGTAGCTCTCCGAGGCTCCGGTTGATACGGGCACGACGCTTCTTTTCCATAAGAGGCTTTAGCACCTATATAGAAAGTAACGGGTTCTATTTGTTAGGCAACGTCGGTAAATGTTAGTAACTTTTTATAGACGACAGCAAAAACCTGTCATCATATTGTGTGTCTACTTTAAAGAAGAACTACATTAAAAGGCCTACCTTCCTAGCTTCTATGACTTTATCATAAGCCGTCTTTTGATCAAGAGGATATTCATATTCCATTTTGACGTGCTCTATGCTGGAAGGTCAAGTTATCTAATGACAGAGACGGTGTCAGAGTCGAGGTCTTGAGTCCCTTAAAATGGGAGAGGAGATCGCCGCGAGCTCTCGCCCTCGCAAGGTTCTGCGACAAGGAGCAGTCATCTTCTGTTCGTTTGATCCTTTAGAACGATCCTCTCCTTCTTAGGCACGACGCCCTCTTCTGGCGACAGTTTACACGACCAAGAATAAGATGTCTACCGTTCGGCCTGCTTTGAGCTGACGTATTCACCAGCAATTGGTACTTGAAGTCCATAGAAATAAACTGATGTAACGCGCATTGAGATGCAATCGGTCAGCACGACCAAGATAATGCCAGAGGTGGTGAGGTAGCACCATTTATCTTAGCTCCACTTGAACAGTAGTTATACTTTTGTAGCATTATTCGCCATTTTCTTTGCTCTTCGGCCTTTGACGGTGGTGATCGTATGCTTCACAATGGATGAACGCGACGCTCCGTTGTGACTCCGTTGCTCGCTCAGAATCGTGTGAAGAAAAAAGAATGACCGGAGAAGCACAAACTAAGAATACATGAAGCGGGCTAGAGTCTATCACTCGCAAAGTCTGCTGGGGCCAAGTGCATAACCAACAGGCTGTGATAAGTTGAGTAACAATCAGAAAAGAAATCACATCGGAAATGTCACCACAGTGAAAACAACTGACAACAAACACTCGCCTGAGAATTCGACGAGAGCAAAATCGGAATTTTGAAATTGCGACGAGTACGAACGACGTCAAGACGAACCAAGCCTTCGTTAGAACTAAAAATGCTAAGCGAGATGAATAACTACTATCCGTCAGAGACACCCCCTTGATAGAAACTCCTCCGATGAAGGTAGGAGGTGTCACAGAATTGATGTACATAGTATGCTTACTAAATGTAAACGCTCTCTTATAGTCTGTTCACAGTAATTTGCAGGAAGGCAGAAGGAGCCGGTACAGATTAAAGGGAACTTCACGTCAAACCTCGTTGAGCACTTAAGGCAGGAAGTCATAGTTGGGATTTAGATACTTGACAGAAGGTAAAGAACATTACTAGTATGGGCATTCTAGTACTAAAAAATATAATGCCTTACATAACCCAAGCGGAATATGATAGAACTATAATATTAAAAATTTCGATTTGGGCTGGTAGATTTCTCTAATGTAAGTAACAAAATTCAAAGTTGGCATAATCATCAGATTCAAAATAAAGATAGACTTAATGAAAGAAGTTGTAAGTGCCTTAATTTGATAAGTTAGAATAATCAAAGGGTGTTCAATCAGCGCCTGTATATCGTTTCAGTCGTAGAATCGTATTTGATTGAAAACTGTCGATGGCGGCGAATCTCAATTCATTTTGGTTTCGAATGCAGGCAAACATTTTCAGATCGTATATATATATATATATATAATTGTGAATTACCTGATTGTACTATTATTTATTTGTGACATATATATATAGGCTTAACTTTTTTGGTAAATTCATAAGGAAATAACCTGTTCACCCCGGAAAGGCTCACTAGAATTATATTGAGTGGCTATGCATGAAGAGATAATTGCGCCAGCATATTGATAGAAGCTTTCAGCTAGAAATGCGTGACTGATATTGTTGAAGGCCAGCTGACCCCTGAAGTGTATGACGTGGATAGCTCCTCAATACTTTGACCTTAAATGAACAAAGTATACACTTATTTTACTAGGATCATGAACATGAATAGTTCTCTTATCACAGGGGGCGCTGTAGATGGATGTGCGTATGATACGCCAACCAAAAGTAAACACACATTTTCAGGTTGAGGTAACTAGCTTCTTAGTTATTACCACAACTGAAATATTTTAAGAAAAATTTCTATTTTTTTTTTTTCTCGTTTAACTTAATTGTAAACAGTTTTAGTTATTGAGTTTTGACTGGTACATGAGTGCCTATTGTTGGTACGATATGTTTGTTGTACAGCTAGTGTCGCTACTTGCTACATAGAGCAGTTCTAATAAATGACGAATAATTACTTCTGAGTATCTAGTTCAGAGCTGGATCGCAGGATTCCATAAAATTAAAACTAAAGAAGCCTCCGAAGCGGCAGTAATATATACTGCCTATAAAAAGCATGTTATTTTATTTGACGACTATCATTGTTTCTACTTAATGAGTGAACTGCCATAACGATACGAGATAAAGCTTGAAAGCCTTGCACTATAATGCCGGCGACATACTTGCTAGGCTAGGTCTTTCAAGGCAAGGGCTTTCATGTTTAAATTTAAAAGCTAGTAATTTGGCAAAAATTTATGTTACGATTTATCTGTTTGTGGTTCTGAAGAACACAGTTATTAAGTGAGAAAACTGACGACTATATATTAAGGGTTCGTATCGTTGCCGGTCCCAAATCGCTTTTTTGAGCGCAAAAAGTACTCGATGACATTGATAGGAGTGTGGTGCATCAACGAATCTTTAAATTTTTCATTCAACATATCCCCTTCGTAAGCGTCTATCTCAAAGTTAAAGTCCATCGCTTAGATGCATTGCTGTTATGTATATAGTAAGATATGACCCAGTAAAGCTGAAAAGAACATTTGTGCCTGTGCCTTTATCATAGAAAACGGGTGTAAGCACAACGATGTCACAGGACATGTAACTACTACTGAGGCTGTAATCGATCATTGCGATCAATGGAGATACGACAACGAGCAAATAGTTATATTGTTGTTCTTGTTTTTATGATCAATGTTTTCGAATAGTAAATTTTTAGCTGTCGCAAATAGCGCTACTGGTACCCCTATGAAAACTAATTCTACAACGTCTATCTGCTTTCTTCATTTACATATTCACATTAGAGCTAAGATCACATTGCTTGTGATGTTACGGAATTATGCGTATGCATTTATGAACTAGCTCTGATTTGATAACGGTAAGCAAAGATGTGACGAATCGTTTACTGTACTCTTCGGAGCTATTCGCAGACCACCCAGTTTTGCAAAGTGACAGTCTTATCAAGGAAGTTGCTGGATGATGTTCGAAGATTAAACTTTTTTCGTTCGAGGCTTAAATACAGTAGAAGTGGTACTAAGGTGTCGCTATGTAATAGAATGCAGTCCTCTACGAAGTTACAACGACTTCGCGAATCTGTCTAGCTGCTTGAATGCTACTGACATTTTTTGCTTTCTTCGAGTGTCAAGTAACTTATTATTAGTGATGAGTGGGCGATGACAGCACACCTAACTTGGACACCTTATGACGTCCAACTGTAGAATACATCAAATGGCTGAACTATAGTTCGTTAACAAGACTCCCACTTTGTAATTGATATCATAGACCAGATATAACCGGATATTTTTGCCATGTGCTGTTCAGCGGAAAAGATATCTTCTGCTAAAGACTGTATTTAAATCTATTCTCTCCACAGCCGCACTCAGAAGAAGCCAGAGATGGTATAATCTGTTAACCTCACGTCCTCGAAATGTTTCGGTTAACAAGCGGTTTGTCTGTTTAGAAGAAATTATCGAACTACGACGATTGCGCAGAAAAATTAGCGACTCAATATATTTAAATGTAACAAGAACACCATCTGCGGTTAAAAGGAAAATAGCCAAACAAAGGTTTAGGTCACGTACGACCTTAAAGCATTGCTTCGAAACGAAAATCACCTGATTGATTACCTAATTCCACCGCCATTATAACATTGGGCCAATATTATACCAACTTCATACTGTATAGCACTGAAACTCTTTAGAGGCAATTACGTTATACAAATAATTCTTTTCAAGACTGGTATTTCGGGAGTTCCTGCGGTCAAATAGGAAAAGCTACGTCTGTAATTGAAGTAATATTTCGATGACAATAACACGTTATTGGAAACGTATAGTCGTGGTATAAGCACGATACCTTAAGAAACACTAGAAAAAGACGTATATAATGAGATATCTTCTGCAACAGGCAAATCAAAAAGAGTTCTTTGAAAACTGTCTTGGAGCAGCAAACTGGCTAACGATGACGACGATACCACTGTGGTCATCATCTTTCAATTATCCGTATAAGAACTTAACTTGAAATTGTTACGGAATCCCGTCTTTGCGTGTCATACCATGATTCAACAATTTTTTTTTCTTCACAAATGACAAATAAATAACATAAAATTAATATAAGCGTTTTAAAATATCTTTGGCAATTTTTCGTAAACGAACTTGTCTGGCTATCTGTTCTTACACGCCGGCTAACGCTAAGGTTTTCCTGAATGAGGAAGACCTCGATATCTCCTGCACAATCCCAGAAATAATCTTGAATTAAAAAAAAGATTACTTTTTCTTGTACAGTTATCTAAATAAAGTTTTAAAATAAATACATATCTGGTCGATATTTTGTTTTTTTAGCACAATCGACGACCGTTTTTGAAGCTTCTTTGAAAGTTCACAGTAAAATAGAGATTCCATCCGTCTGAGTCCGAATTCTAAAGGTACATTGTCAACGAGTAATGCTTTTAACTTGAGCAAAACTTACAAAAAGGCTGTGCAAATGTCGAAATATTTGAAACATTTAAATATTTTTTTAAATAATTTTTTAAAATATTTAAAAATGAAAGTTTATATTATAAAACAGACGCTATTATAGCTGCTATTGTAGTTTAGTAAGCCTTGAATGCTGCAATCGGTGTTCAGTCCGAATTTAAAAACTTACAATTAACTAAACAATCGTTAACATGGAGCCAATTCACTTATACTCTTGCTGATGAGTATTGCTACTACATGATTCTACATGTAACTTTTGGAGCGAAATCTGTTATTTACCCTGCTGAAACTTCGCTTGGGCATCCTCCAAAAAAGATGATACACGTGCCCCATCGCAACAAGATCCGGTGCTTGTTGGTTATGCCCCGATGAGTTGGTCAACTTAAGAAGTAGTTAAAAGGTGCTCCCTATATTGCAAAATTTCCTAAGGAGAATCCTATCTCAAGAATTACTGTCATTTTTTGTACATTAGCCATGAACGGCCCTGCGAGTTGGAACAAAGCTATCGTCGCCGTGATGGAGAATCTTGTTTATTAGTAATAAGGGTGCATATTATATCTTTCTGAGTACCGCGGTAAAGAGATCGGATAATATTATACTGTAAAGTAGCAGCGGATATATGGGATCAAAAACATCAGGTAACCGCAGATAATTAAAAGTAAATTTACCACTATCAGTCAATTAGACCGTTTGCAAAATTTAGAGTTCATATATTTAAGAGTTATCACATTGCCATCGAAACGATATCGAAAAATATATAAAGATTGAAAATAAAAAAAGATTAATTTTTATTAAGGATTGGCCATTTTGACTGGACTTGATAGATCTAGTGTTTTGCAAAAATTTAGATTTAGAGAATTAATTTGGTAATCTATTCCTTCGCTTGACTACGAAGATATGGCGTTTGAAAAATAGTTGTTTTCAGTTGGCGTATTTGCATTCCCCTCCCAAAAGAAACATTTGAGCATATAATACAAGTGGTTCATTATTCCACGCGTTTATTTGTTCTCTACTTTTTTTTTCCATTTTTCGACCAAAATACGTTAAGTCTAAATCCCACAACATCACACAACAAGTTTGGACATCTTGCGTTACACTCTGATGGAGGACACGAGTGCCAATCTTTACCTACCAAAATGGAACAAAGACGCAATGTGAAATCGGATAAATTATGTTCAAATTGTAAATCCGTCTAAACGTGGCCATTTATAGACGGTGAAAAATAGTACTTTGTACCCAGAAAAGATGTCAATGTTCGCTACCCGATTCTCAATCTTGCTCTTTGGAACGTGCCGAACTGTATCATCATTTGATAAAACCGGCGTCTGCTTCAAATTATTCACTCATGGTCTTTTCCGCCGTTTTGCGCTTTCGAGGCTAGCAGACGCCACTCTGAGCAAACTAGATCGAATCTGTTCCCCTCTCCTAGAAAATAGCGTTGCTTTCGTCTGACTCAAGCCTGTGGATAACCGATTGTACGCATTTATTCTGACCCATTTTCTATCAGATATTGAATAAAGCTATTATGCATAACGTTGTAACAATGGTTTATCTCTTTCAAAAGAGACAGACAGAAACGTATAGCTACCGCTAGCCGGTATTTTCGTCAAATTACGGACTGAGCAGGGTGACAGCTTTTCTTCTCCCTGTAATTATCCGTTTCTTCAGTGCGTTGTTAGTTCAAGTTTAGCAGAGGCGCCGGTGGCGGTACCAATTGGTACTGTGGCTGCGCGTTTGTTTGTTAGCGGCGGTAGCTATAACAGGCGACACCCCCAGTTCACCCTCTCGCTCCTTTCCTTTGGCGGCCAGCCCAACAACATACAACAGACGAGCGTCTGTCCCGCCGTGTGCCGTTTCTCTCTCGCTTTGACTATGGTTGTGTAAGGCTATGACTCTGTATCATAGTATACGTTTGTGTGTGTATGTGCCTGTGTGTGTGTGTGCGCGCGTCTGTGTGCATTAGAGCTTGTACGCTGTCGTGGCTTGCTAGTTATGACTATGATGCCCTGTGCGGGCGTCGGCGAGTGCGTTTCAAACAAACTGACACACAGACTGGCAAATAGACAGACGAGTACATTGTCAATGTGTTGTTGAACTACAATTGCTGTCATCGGTGCGTTTCGTATGCTGTGCTGTGCTGCGCTTTGGCGGGCTGTGCCTCTCCCGTGCGATGCTGCTGCTGCTGCCGTGGTTACTACCGCCAGTAGTGCTGCAGCAGCGGCGGCGGCGACGGCGGCGAGTGTTTGAGAGTGGGTCGTGTGCGTACTGTTGCTAGTGGGTCGGTGTTCCCGTGTCCATGTAGTAGTTGTCATCAGCGGTGGTGATTGTTTCTGGTGACGGAGGTGTTGGCCAGAGCAACCGCGTTTGCCGCGGTCCGGTCCCATTGGTTTGAGAGCGTGCAAAATAGAAACAAAGCGCGTACGACAGACTCTCTGAGAAAGAGTCGAGCGCACTCATACTATTCGTACTAGACCCCTAACAACAGCCAAAGAAATAACAACAACAACAGTGTTCAAATGTGTGCATGAGTGAGTGCGGCTGGATGGATGTGTGCGCGTATGGCCGTTTAAGATTATTGTAACGACGACGGCGGCGGCGGCAACAACGACGGCACCGAACAACCGAATCCAGACAGTAGCGCCAGCAGCAAACGATTCGATCAATCGAATCGTCCATCGCGGCGTTATCCACCACCGGCAAACACTTAAAACAAAACTGTGCTTAGAGTTACCTCGTTAAAATCTGACCCTATGTGAAACGGTACTGCTCGTTCCGGAACTGAATATTTCTCTGTTTCTGTCATCCTAAAGGCCGGCTCCAAGACACCTTAACTTCTACTACCTCGAATAACGCTTACCGGATTCGCAAACTACGTCGAAAAAAAAAAGGACCACGACGTAAGTACTGATCCGTTTGCTTTGTAGTGTTAGTACAGTATCAGCAGTACTTAATAAGTCTAACGAGCATAGTGGCGACCACTGATGCTCAGGGAATAACGACAACGGCATACACTCACACACATAACAAACGCACACGAAGAGTAGTTGAGAATAGCCCGCGTCGTTGTTCACCCACCGCCCGCGGGAACAACGCCCATCATCAGCTGAGCAGCGCGATACCAGGTACCGCGTACTGGCTACTATCTATCTAGCTAGCTAACAAGAGGATATTACTGAAGTAGTATTAACCATAACGGCAGTCGTCATACTCATGCATATTAACTACTAATACGGTGTTTTGATGGTATAATAAGACGCCACTGCGCACCTAAAAGAGCAACTCAACTTACTGGAAGTGGCCTAGTCTGAGCCTCAGTACGAACCAATGTGTTCCCGGGGCAAACTGAAGCTTCCAACTGATGGAACTCACTCCAGTTCGCATGGCTCGTGCAAGAAAGCCCTTTAGTGCGCCCTGTCATTGTTTACTGTCTGAAAATGTGAAGGCAAATCGTGTACGTTCCGCAGACACTCGACGTATGTATATACATTTGTTATCTTTCTTGGCATGAGGGGAACATGTGCTATGTGCAGAAATGATAGCATATAATGACTTATCATTGGGCAGATTGCTCGACTATCGCTCCTGATGTTTTTTTGATCTGAAATCTGATAATATTTAGATTAGTTAACGATCGTTCTGACGCGATTACGAAATCAGATAAGCGGTCGTACACCGCAAAGGTTGGCCTTCGACTCTCTCTTCTGCTTCTCCTGAGCGATACACGTGTAAATTTATGGGAATGTAGAGTTGGAATCTATTTCGGAGAACGGTGGCGCCTGCAGCGATAGTCCGGCGCCTAAAATAGCTTCAGGATAATGACTAGATGCAGGAAAGCGTCAACTGTTAGCCGCCAAAGAGGCAACTTTAACTTGCATGTTCCTCTATGAAATCGTTGGGACATCAAGAAGATGCCGAGTACCGTCTGGAATAGTCTCGTTTATGTCCTACAGTTAAACATTCCGAACAGATACACTACGTACCATATACCACTAAATTTCTGCGCTGAACTGTTTATGGGTTGTTTCATAAAACATCGTTATCATTTTTTTTATCATTAGAACTTCTTTTTTCTTCGTTTTTATGCTACATTCAAGTAATTTAATGGCTGATTTCTTATGCAACTCGATAATAGCATATGTTAGATTTTTTTGTAACGCGCTATTGTGTAATAGCGACCTGCGTCCTGAGGTGAATCTTGACAGGTTACAGCATAGCGTGTCGCTGATGAACACAGTGACTTCTTGGCCTAATTGGCTCGTCTACAATACGTACTAGCGTTAGCGATACCCACATGAGCTTTGGACGGCAAACCTACTCGTTCATCTATGGTAGAGCTTTAATTGCAAATGATTGATCAGCAGGACGTCATCGGTTGCCGTTAACGTGTACGACATACCTAAGATGGCGGTGTCCAAAAAGACTGCTAGAATTAACGCCAAATTCGTCAAAAATGTAAATTAGTGTTTGTGGGGAGTTGTGAAATCAGTTTTTTTCCGAATCACTGTTATCCATTCGGTTTGGCGATAGTCGCTGTCAATGCCCGTTCTTAGTCGTCGTATGCAAATCTAAGGTTGTAATGCGCCGACGTTGGTGCCACAGCCCGACCCAAATATAAAATTTTACAGAGCTGACGATAGCTCGGCTAAGGCACCCCAGAGGACAGACACCGCTGAACCACACGTGAACTATGCTCACATGAACGAAAATTACCATAATTCAACACTAACATCAAAGTTTTTTTATTCCGGTTGTTGTGGCTTTGCGAGCAACCCATGTCAATCTACATGCGCTTCAATCTTCCAACAGAGTCAATGTTCCTTTTCTAGTCGATGGTCTTGACTATGATTTTACAATTGGTAACTCATTTCATGACGATTAACAGTACAAGTACTACCTGAACTTTGGTTAGTCGTATCCTTACTTTATTCGCGTATATAAAATTTGCTAAGCTCTTTTGTCTAGTTCGCAATCCAATACTTGCAGCGAAGTGTCGCTTAGATGAGTCTCAATATCTTTCAACTGATACGGTAGTTAAAAGAAACGCTCATCAGTTATCAAACAATGCTCGGATCTGCCAACCGCGAAGAGTTTGGGAGTGCGCAATCACGCATAGTGGAATATACGCGTATGGTGTGAAACGATTATTACCTATAGGAAATACTACAGAGCACGTAAAAGTTGTACTCAAAAGGAAGGATTTCGCTTCATCCTAGCTTTGACGCACGTAAATTAACCTGGCACCGCGCTCTGCAGTGTAATTTCTCCTCTAAACGGTCAGAGCTTCTATATATAGATTGCCTTTAATAAAACTGTAAGCTATGTTGTAACTAATCTTGCCTTGCAAGCTTTTTAAACACGCGTAAAGGAAAAAAGCGAGCTTCACCCCATTCATTTAGTTAGCTAAGAGTCCTATAGGTCTAATCCTTAATATGCACGTGACCCGTGAGTTTCGCTCCTTAAATCGAGCGCAAAAATGATTTAAACACAGCTTTTGCATAAATTATCTAAACTATTTGGTCTAATTTCTATCGCGTTAGAATTACTTTGTGGTGGTGTTTCTTGACATTGGTATGGATATCGATACGATGAGTACGAGTGACCTTGAATTGGCTATTTAGGTTAAGTAGGTTAATAATAATGAGTTGAACACGTTCGCGCCAAGTCTAGAAGCTGGAACGAATAAGCAAAGCCTCAACGCTTTAATAAGCGTACCTATAGCGCGCTATTTACCGTTTTACATATTTATATTAGATTAAGGAGTACATGCATTAAATTTACGATTGAGAAATGGCAAAATTGTTATTGTCGAATGCACAAAGCAACGGGTGGTAGGCGTCGGTCAGACAAGTGTTATTTTCTGAAAGCAAGCAACGATGCAGGTGTGGCACAGGTTTGCGATGAAAGCTTGTGCCACAGTTGGTAAAGAGAACCTTTTTTTAGTAGAATGCGTAACGCCCCACTAAAATTTGGGCAAGTAGTCTCGTTCACCGATGACTTCAAAACTTTTCATTCAAACAAACTGTGCCACAAACGTGTTGAAGCTTGCTCTGGTGTCTCAGTGCCTGTAAAATTCATCGATATGTGCACTGAATGATGTTGTGTGGCACCAGGTTATTGAGGGGCTAAAGGAAGAAAACGCATGTATGCCCGGACAAGATTATAGTTCGTGTACATAGGACCGTTGGTTTATTTCCGCAGTACACAAGGCGGCTAGTATTTCACTGTAGGGTTTGTCTAAAACCGCAAAAAGGTACGAACACAGGCTTTTATAAATATAACGTTCTCCAAACAACTCTTGAAATGGCCGTAGATAGCAGTGAGCGATCCTAGTTTTGCCTTCCGATACCATGACTGCCGAAGTCACAATCAGTTAAGCAAAAATTTATGTAGTAGTTGCTAGGGCTGGAGTCACTTCCGGCTACTTGTTATTTTATGAAAAAAAACATCTAGTTTTATATTGCTTATTATGCCCCTTATACAATTCAGCCTCTTTACACATTTCGTTGTTTTAAACGATAGCATTTCGAATAATATTAATAGTTCTCCTATTATGTAATAAGAGCGATCTTTGCGTTTTACCTTTTCCTAGGGCGGCGGCGGCGGCGGCGGCGGCGGCGGCGGCGGCAGCGACAGCGATTTCCACATGCATATGTGTATATGGGAATACAAACACCTATACTTACAACATCGTGCATATTTGATGCATGCGTTTTGTTTATTTGTACGTAAGCATTTTGGGCTGCAGTGTGTATCAGGAGCACTACTGCTGCATGACTACTACACGGGTGATGCTGAATCTAGCCGTAAATATCTGGCGTGCCGCTCATCCGGTACGATAGCGTGCGATATAAAGCTCTTATCTTGTGGGTTTTGATCGTTTCGCTCTGACTCATAATCCTGTATCCTGCTATTTAGGGATAATGGTCACTTCTCTCGGAGATCCTTTACGATTTATAGCTATTGGTTATTTTTGCCGGGAGACATCGTGCATCATAAATATATACACAAATACACACATACACAGTAAGTAACGCGTTCGTTGTGTCGCGGCCAGAGAACTATGTTTGTTCTTATACTGCAATATAAAACGGCTCGTTATATAATGTTTAGTCGCCACTGAATTTTCGATGCTTGAGCTGTCCAGCGGTCAATAAGTGCGTCTGATATCGTTAGCTGCTAGACACTTGAACACCGGAGGAGCAGGGCTGAATTTGCTATTTGGAAACTCCTTTGTGTAGGAACCTTAGTGATGTTTTATGAGTGCTACTCTTCTACTAGTTTTTCTTTTGAATCATATGTACGGACGAAATGTTTTCCTATCGAAGTATTTTGCTCCATTGAACGACGTGTCTCAAATAAGTGTGCTGTAATGTTTACCTTTTGAACATGGTTCAATGTTGAGTTTAGCAAGATAGATTTCACTAATTTTTCGCGCGACAAGTTTTCGTGAGGTTCTTTTTGCTTAAACTAAATGTTAACAAAGTACTTTTGCAGAATTGTCAAATCGATAATGTTATATAGTTCTGCTTTAAAATTTTAATCTAGCTTGCAACTATCGAAACCATTAAAAGCATGATTCAAATACTTGGAGAATAAATTTTGCATGTGATATATACTTAATATTAAAACGAACTTGCTTTAGAGCCACCCATAGGTTATCAGGAATCAAAGATCCAGGAACGCGAGGATATTAAACCTGATTAAATCATCGTCGTCGACGACGAGAAGCTAAATTTAGCGTGGCCAGGGATGCTAGCAGTAGGCCTTTTTGATGCACACGTACAGATATTGATATATACAATGTATATTTAATAATACAAATGGGCCATGAGTGATACACTTTTACTTATGCCAATGAAGCGAGAGGGTCTTAAAATTAATTTAAAATCTTATATACTGTACCAAAAGACAGTGATTACTAATAGAAGTATCATACTTAGCAATGCATCTGTCACTATTGGATTAACAGTGATCTTGCAATATGACTGTTTTATCAATCACGTCGAGTGAGTTCAGAGATATTTCTCTGTAGAAATATATCTAAACTTACCTGTATATTTAGCCTTTTTGTCCGAAGCACTTCTAACGCCGCTATATTCTGCCAGCTGCGGAGTGTGGAGTTTTTTTTTGCGTGTAGAGGTAAAGTATGGTGTATCACCATATTATAGTCTACTTTAGAGTGCATAGGGCTTGCTCGCACCTACGTGTTTCATCATGTAGACCTGTCGGCTTTCAGCCAAATACATTTGGAAACCATAATAATTTTGTAAATATTAATGAAATTGGGATTCTTAATTATCAATAGTAGAGGGCCTAATTATCTAGTTTAAATTTGGATCGAGATTAAGCTCAATATGTAAGTGTGACTCTTTAGTCGCTTATGGAGTCCACCGTAGGAATGGATAGATTACGCGAGGCGCGTGTGTAACAACACCCTGTATTTGGTAGCCATATGGTCTCATAATAGGCAACCATTTTGTTGACCATATGAAATGTCAACATTAAGCATGACCGGTGTTATTGTTGGATGTGCTCGATCTAAACAGTCATCTAGAACGGACCGTTTAGGTTTTTTCTCGCAGAAGCTCCGTTTTCTACCCTTTCGTCAGCGTCAGAAGTGCATACTTCACTGCAAGTGAAGTTAAAAAATGAGCCAGTGGTGTCTCAGTATATATATAAACGACATGGATAGCATCGGCTCGAAGACAAAAATGGCTGGACTATTTACTTTCGTGTGACCTATTTGTGTTTGCGGTGTATTCCTAGACTCGCGGGGCTGAGTTGTCGCACGTCTGTCAACTCTAAATAGGGAACGCTTTGATGCATGTAGCAAAAGCGTTAACTGCAGCGGCATAGCAACGATAATAGTGCTAATAACAAGAACAGTCTATTACCGTTCGTTCTGTCGATCGAATTGAACGCGTATCATGCTTGCCAGTGCTACCACTAATACGATCACCATTGCAAGACGCCGACGGAACATAGAACATCAACACGGAATAAGACGTGTGGATGAATGAACGACCCCCCGTGCTCCTTAATTGACTCGTATGCAATACGCAGGAGAGCTCACATACAGGCTAGAGGACACTCTATGTCCCTGTCTGTCCGGTCAATTAAAGAAAAATTGCCTTCTGCTACCAAATTAGTTAACCAATCATCAAGCCAACATATGACAAGTCAAATACGTACGCTCGCACAAAGACGCACATATACACCTCTATTGATTCAAATAGTCAATCAGAAAGGCGTCTATCTCTCTCTCTCTATTCATTTCACTACGTACCTTGTTACTTCTTTTATTTGGGGTGGAAAATCACTTAAGAAGTTAAACCTGGACTTATTTACTTACTGTTAGTCTTAAACTGCTTCACATAAAAATGTAAAAATCAATGTCGATATTTTTATACCTAAATGACCTTTGCCCGCAGTTAGTGTCTATGGTTGCGAGATGGTCTTTCCTAGTTTCTCCCTGTATTAGTAAAGCCCGTAATGAAAAGCCACGTTATCGTTATTTGATCGACTGATCGCCGGCTGAAGCGCTATAAATTGGCACACTAGGAAACGACAAAAGAGCGTAAGCAAACAAACACAAGGAAAAGAGCTAATAAGCACTATAGTAGACATGTATCATCTGCTACTTTAATGGAATGAATTAATTCTAACGCTTGGGCGTTTCACAAAGGCAATGTACTGCATCAAGTCAACATATGAGACAGTGCTAAACGGTAACTTTAACAGCTATCGGCCACCAGATGGCTAGCATCTACTTAACCGAACATGCCGTCTTGCACGAGAGTGAAGGATTAAATTAAAACAGAATAATTGAATTTATTCATTACAAAGATCTACTTAATTAGTCAATTTTGGTCCATTACACACCCACGGTAAAAAGCGTCACTTAGCGACATGATAAGGTGGATGAAACTGCCTGCTGAGCAGAATTTACAAGACATTTCGAAATTGTTAGTCGTTCATCCAGGTGTTGATTTCAACGAATGAAAATGGCGCCTCTTTACGCTGTTGTGGGCGTAAGCTCAGCTCGTAAAGGCAGTCCAGCAAATATTAGAAAACCTTTCTGGCGAATTGTCTCTTATTTATTTCGAAAAATATAGACAGCTTAAAGTAGCTCGAGTGATCGACCGACAGCGCAAACCTTGACGTTAGGTGAAGGTACAACTCTTCCGGGCGAAGAAATAATCTAGTTAAATGTGTAGCGAGGTTGGCGTTCATAAATGTAGTAACATCATCTAAGTAAGTGTTTCATTCTAGAGGCCGATCGCCGCTAGTTAGCGTGTCCATTGTCGCCCACCTTCTGTTATCACGTAGAAGATTTCCGCGTTGTACAGGATAGAGACATAATCGCTTATAGTCGTTTTTATTTAATATATTTATATAATGTAAAAATCTATAGGAATAAGTTAATCGGTATAGGAATTCATTATTGCAGGTAATCAAAGACTTTCGGTCGTAGACGGGGCGGCGAATCGGTAACATTGTATTGGGACTTGTGGCCCTGTGGCTGTATTACCTCGACCTAGTTGAGCTGCCCAATTGGCAAAACAAGTTCGACGAAAGAGCAAATCTGCGTACAGAAAACTAGCTATTCCAAGATGTTTCGGTTCAAAAGCTCCAAATACAAAAATGCCGCACCAAAAGTACCCAAAAAAGACGTAAGTAATACATTATTTTTCATCTTTATATATCGTTTCGATATGTCTTAAAATACTATAGAAGTACAACATGCAACATGGGCAACCACAAAAACAGCTACTGGAAAGAAATCAACATAGGTAATTCGTTGTGACCTTTGCTAAGGTTTGAGACTAATTATTTTGTAGGGCTGGGTGAGCGATATCAATGTCGGAGCGCCACAGTCTTTTGGTAATCACATCAAATGTTCAGCTGCATTCAAAGCTTTCAACGTCGACAATCGGGGTGGAGGATGTCTTGGTATTCTACCACTCAACGATGCAGGTTCGTTACTTCGATCTGTACATGTACACGTTAAATAGCAAATGTGAGAAGAATGTTATTTATTTCTTATAATTAGCGTTTTACTTAGAATTTCAATGTAGAAGAATTAGTATAACAAAAGCTTCATAAGCATTAATACACATTAAAGGCGTAGGAGAGGTATTACCCAAAGAAAGTTTTGTCGGTAAAGAAAGCTGATAGATAGCGGGACTTCTTCATTCGTTTCGAACCACCTAGTTTGCATTATTGTCTATAGGTTTTTAAGGACTGCGACAAGGTGGATCCGCAGTTTTTTCTTCCTCCAATCATTGAGGTCTAAATAAATCATGAAATTTGTATTGTGATAAAAGGCAAAAAAACTCGTGGAGTACCACTCCTTCATGCCCATGCTGAGTTCGTCACGGATTTTGACTTCTGTGCATACGACGATGGACTATTGGCAACTTGTTCGCATGACGCGTATGTAAAAATCTGGCGAGTACCAACAACATTACTCACTGACACATCGCAGAGCAACACGCCAATAGATCCCTTGGTAAGTGGTAATGATTGAAGCGCTAATTTGAAGTCTCCAACATGAATACACATAATAATTGGAAAAGTTGGTGTGAGTAAGGGGTTACAAGTAAAAAAAGCATGATTCGTAATATCTGATAAAAGGTGATAACGATTTTGCTGTTTAGGTGACACTGAAACCATCTAGCAATGTATGTCGTCTGGAGACGGTTTCGTGGAATCCGGTGGTCGACTGTGTATTAGCCTCTTCTGCAAACAACAAAATTGTATTATGGGACGTATCGCGAGCGACAGAAATTATCTCGTTCAAGGACCACGAGGAGCTAGTACAGAGCATCTCCTGGAGAGCTGATGGAAGCCGGCTTGTGTCTGCTGGCCGTGATAAAACCATCCGTATTTGGGATCATCGCAAACCGGATTCGTGCACGGTTGGTTGTCGATTTATCAGTGCTTATAGTCACGCTGTTATTCTTTGCTTAGTTTTTCTTATCAGTACTTTTGCCGTAAATAAGCGCAGAATTATAAGGTTAGAAGGATTTTCATCTGCGTACATTGATATGGTAGATTGTTTGGGGTTTCAACAATTTTAAACTGGTAGCTAATGATTACCGGTAATATCTTAAGGTTACTCCGACAGTTCGTAATGTCATATGGGCTATCTGCCGTTATTATATACTTGGTGGCAGTAAATCATATTCCTGCAATTCGATTTCCGTTGGGCTCACTGTAAAAGCCTACATATATTCTTTCAATAAATTCATCTTTTTCTAAGGGCTAAGATTTCTCACTATTAATACCCCTGCAATGGGATGGGTAGGAACCGATTTCAAATATATAGGGCGTGCAATAATGTTCGAGCTGCAGTGCGAACTAAAATTAAAAATACAGATTAATTGACAGATATACATTATGTGCCCTATCTCTGCGTGCCCTTTTCTCGTTGAAAATGCTAGTTAAAAAAAACAGCATTACGCATACCTGGCTGCGTTCGGTTGAGATCTATTTTTGTCTAGTATCTTTTTTACGTGTAGGTCCATCGGCCAATACAATAGCTAAGAGCCACGATGTGAAGGAAAATAAAAGACAGTATAAGAAACAGCTCAAGCAATTACAGAGACGCATAGCATTCAATAGCTAGAAAACATAAAACGATTATTTTTTTTGTATCAAATGCTTGTCGCTTGCAGGGGGGAAAGTATGAAAAAATCGGCTGTCCCTTAAGCATTTCATAAGGTTCGGTCAAATAATTAACACGTTAGCTACTCTATTCACTTGAGATTATATATGTGTAGACGGTAAAGTACAACCAAAAAGAGTATTCTTACAATAGTGGATCTTCACACCTCGAGTTATGGTAGTACTACTCGATGATCAGCTTATCATACCGAATGTCTAGCCATACACCGACCATTAAGCCATGTCTACGTGCAATTAATGTTGTAGGCAAGATTTACAAGCGAATACCAATAGTTAATTTTGTGATACTTTTAAAATTGCAGGTGGCTGAAAGCCATGCAAATAATCGAGATTCGCGGGTCGTGTGGTTAGGAAACTCTGATCATGTGCTTTCGTCTGGGTTGGGAGCTAACCGTGAGAGACAAGTTGCTCTCAGAGACATCCGTAATTTGAGTAGTCCACTTAAAGAATATAACGGCGATTCGTCACTCGGCATCTACCTCCCGCTTTATGATACCGGTATGTTGTGGTAATTAATATAGGTTCTTTGATCCTAGGGTCTCCTTGGAATATTTGAGCAATTGTGCACTGTCAAAAAAAGACGCGCAGAAGCCGGGTTAGCCGGATTTCTTTTCGTGTAAAAGGTAAGCGAGAATATATGCATAAAACAGCTTGCTAACATTTGTGTCTAAATGATTCTGGCACTTACAGATACAAACATGCTTTTCCTAGTGGCCAAGGGTGACATTACAGTCAACTTTTGGGAGGTGGATACTTCTAAGGAACCCTTCATGTATGAGTGTTCCAAGTACCTAGCGGACGTCCAGACCAAAGGTGCTTGTTTGGTACCCAAGAGGGCGCTCAGTGTAATGGAAGGCGAGGTCAATCGAATTCAGATTCTAACCAAGGACTGTATTGTTCCGATTAGCTATCACGTTCTCCGTAAGACCTATCGAGACTTCCACGCTGATATATTCCCAGACACACGAGCTCCTGTTCCAACGATGTTGGCGCGCGACTGGTCCGAAGGGAAGAGTAGCACGAAGATTCCGCTACTTTCACTTGATCCATCCAAGAGGACGAAGGATTTGACGCGTTTCGAACATGAATTAGGATCTGGCGTACCGACGCAATGGCTCACAGCAGATGTAGGCTTTACAGAGATTGATGGTAACCGTGGTAGCCTTATTAAAAAGGAAGGCAGTGAGCCGCTCAAGGAGCGCAATTCATTCATGCGCCAACAAACGGTTGCAGGCGATAAACCTACATTAGCACCAAGACCGGCTCCCAGGACAAAGCTCGTCCCTGCCAAGAGCGTAGATGAATCATGTAACAATAAACTTAACAATAACAAGGATAGCCAAAACGGCAACCGTAACAACCAATCTACTGGCTTAGACAATAAAGTGAAGCGGCAGCCATCAAAGGGGAGCGGGTTCAAAGTGCGAGTATCGAAGTATAGACACCTGAATGGTAACCTAGGGACTCGGGAGACGCAGATTAGCAACCTTCCAGCTCTATGCAAAACGATTCCTGGTGAAAGTGAAGGTTTTCGTGCCAACTCCACCCGCGTAGCCATTCCGTTGGCCACCTCCGGAGGGCATCTAGCTATCCTAGAAGTGGTTAAACGTGGTCGGCTCAATGCCGGCGTGTTGCCGTCGCTTATCTGTGGAGCTAATATCATGGATTTCTGCTGGGATCCCTTCGATGATAGTCGAATTGCTATTGGTAAGTGTTATGTGCAAATCCACTAATCTATAGTTCACACACTTAGAACAAATTCCTGTGAAACTATGATTGATTCCGGAGTTTTATCCAGGGTGATTATCTGTTCAGGTGATATTTTAGCTTTTAAAAAAATACGTGTCTTCTATCCCTACAAGCGAGTTCTACTATAAAAATCTCTACCGCCGTGACCTTACGTAGGACGAGCGGCTTAGCCTACAGCAGGATTGCTGCTATCTCACTGGCTAATCAGATTAAGAAGCGAACGGCTGAGGCCTATCGATCATTCTTGTGACGATTCAGTGAAAATTCAGTGTAATTTATCGTTTTTATTGTAGCATGCGATGACGGTCGTATTCGGGTGTGGAGCATTCCTGAGAACGGGTTGACGGAGTCGTTAACAGAACCGGATTTCGAGCTGAAAGGTCACAAAGATAAAGTCACTCTCCTTAAGTTCCACCCGTCAGCCAAAGACATACTTGCCTCTGCTTCGCAGGACCAGACCATTCTTATATGGGATCTTGATCAACAGGTCGTCGTCTATGAATTGGAAGGTCATACAGATCAGATCTTCAGGTATTTTTCTATTTATTGCTAAATATGAAAAGAAAAATCTAAATACCTTTATATGAAATAATTGTAAATACTTGAATGCTTTCTATTATATCTAAGATGGCTTCTATTAGTAAGGTGGAGTGATAGACTCTATTCGTTAGAGCAATGCGATGCATATTCTTCTAATGTGACAGTATCTATGATGAGTAGTAAAATCTATCTATTAAACAACTAATAATTGAATATAAGCATTCTAGAATATACAAGCCTCTAGTTACGAATAAAAAACTATAATTATAATGAATAAAATTTCGTTCTGTCCTTTCAATATTTTCATTGTAATTTTAAGCCAGATCAGATGCTGAGTTGAGACTTGCTACGTCCTTTATCTGAGAAGTTTATTCGTTAGCAAACAAAATCTTAATTTGTTTGTTTCAATTTAAGCTATGTAAGAAATTGAATGTTTCACAACTGTTGAGCTTATTTCAAGTAATTTAATTGAATAAATGTTTCCGAGTAATTTGTCCAGTGCTGCCGTTAGGCATCGCTCCAGACGGCAGGCTCCCAACACGATACGAAGTGTGTCTACGCTTGGACTAGAACCTAGATTATTTGACCTGTTCCTAAGTTTAGTTCGTAAACACGTGCACCGTCATGCTGATCTTGAGAAATTTAATCTAATGGAATAAACGATTCTTCTTCGAGGCTTTCTATCTTTGAATATTTGCATTGCAGAATCTGATCGGCCTAAGCAATAATAATAACTTGCAAATGATTCGAGCCTTGAGAAAGATCTAGCTTTCTCTCGCTGTTTTAATTTCTTGAAATAAATTTATAGATCAGCAGAGAAAAGAGTTGAGAAACATTCGTTAGAAAACGCTTAGTGCGAAATACATCTTGAAAATTAAATAAGCTTGGATAGCTTTCGTATTAACTTAAAATTAACGTCGCTTTCTTAAAAGCAACCAAATGTGACTTCGCCGTTTTACAGCGGAAGAACCCAGACACGCCATTCATAACTGTTTTTAAGGCGAAGGCCAACATAGAATATATAGAATAAATACTACGCAATTTGTATGAACCAAGAAAGTTAGTTGTATGAAATTGGAATGTGTGCTCATTGACATTATGAACTTATCAATGGGTTTCTTGCAGCATGGCATGGCATCCTGACGGGAGCCTCTTGGCTACAGTGTGCAAGGATCAGAAGATACGCGTTTACGAACCGCGCACGTCATCCGAGCCTTTGATGTCGGGCTTGGGACCCAGTGGAACTAGAGGCGCGAGGGTGTGCTGGGCATTGGGTGGCACCCACCTAATTACAACTGGCTTCACAAAGGTCTCCGAGCGTCAGATTACTCTCTATGACGCCTCGGAGTTAACTCCGATTCATACTGAAGGCATTGATGTCAGCCCCGCTATTCTAATTCCGTTTTACGACGAAGACAGTTCAACATTGTTCCTAACGGGCAAAGGTGATACAACCATATTTTGCTTTGAAGTGCTAGCGGAAGCGCCCAATTTCTTCCCCTTGTCGCATTTCAAATGTCCCGGCCCTCACCAAAATGTGTCATTTCTTCATAAGAACGCGTGCAACGTTGCGCAGGTGGAGTTTGCCACCTGCTTTCGATTAACTTCGTCGACAGTGGAACCACTTGCGTTTAAGGTGCTCAAATATTTTACATTATCCCTTTCATATTTAGCTATCTGAAAGTCGCCTTATATAATAACAATGAATAAAATTCAACCTCTCGTCATTTCTATCATATTGTTCGGTTTTAAAAAAGAGAGTTTTATTGACTTGAAACATGTTCACGACGCTATAGAACATTGCGGTCAATGCAAACAAATATATATATATATATATATATATATATAGAGAGCTTCTGGTATTTGAAAAGAGTACAGATAGTTTTTTTCTTAAATGTAAACAATTTTACTTACTAATTTTTTTTGCCAATGTGCTCCAGGTACCTCGGTTACGCTCGGAATTTTTCCAGGACGACCTATTTCCTGACACACGAATAACGTGGAAGCCAACGATGACGTCAAAGCAATTTGTGGACAACTGCGCGAAAACCCCGGCAAGAATCTCCCTCAAGCCAGTTCAGATGAGCCAGTGTATGTAAAAATGCACGTACAGGAGACGTGTACGGGCGAACATGAAGCACTGCGGCGCAGTGCAGAAGTGAAAAGAAGCATATAGCCTCTATTAAGAAGGATACAATGTAGGATTAGATTTTATCGGTGGCGCTAAACACTCTTGAGTTACATAAACACTGGCGAATTCTTGACCCCTAATTTGGAAGCTGGTGGTGTATGGGGAACGCTAAAAAAGACCACAACTACTACGCATCGAATAGAAGGCGGTACTTCCCAAATATTTTGATGACAGATTTACTGGAATACGCCAAGAAAAACGAGAGGTTCATGTCTCTCAATCGTCCGTTCCGCCGCTGGTCACCACCAACTATCTTCTCCGTCACCTCCTTCGCTTCATTCTTCGTTCTTCTTCCGCTCTCCTACTACTACTACTAAAATTTCACGGTACTAACCCCACAACAACTGCTACCACTTCTACTGACACTCAGCTTTTCATCCGTTGCCTCCACGCCATTTCTCTGAAAACTTCTTGCATATGCCGTTCTCGGCATTGTTTTCACTCGCCTCTTCACGCTTTCAATTGTAACCAATCGTTTCTGAATCTGATCTCTGTTTGTCTGTATCTCGTCATGTGAGTCATACGAGGGTGTGCCGCTCTTTCATTGAATCCAACCTATTTGGCTGAAAAACGAGTCGTGTTAGCTATTCGAGATGTACTTCGCGTCCTAAACAGCTGTGGAGGTCTGTAAGTCGCCTGACCTGCTTGTATTAGTTAAGCAGACATCGGCATTGGGCAAATGAATCATCAGTTTTCAAATTTTTTAAGAAGTTGCCACTTAGCCCCTACCATCATGATCTGCTCAGCACTCCTGCTTATTACGAGAACAAGTGGGTTATGAAGCCTTGATTAAGAAAATTTCAAGGAGAGGAAAATTGTATACAATACATTAGTGCAAAAGTCGCATTTCTTTTTTTTGAATTCGTGATCGATCATTTTGCAATCGGTTAGTGCTACATGTGGGAAATATTTAAAATTCTTCCCGAGTTTTTCTTTTATAAAGCTCTCCTTTCTCAGTCACCTTAAATATGCCCATTTACTGATTACCTATAAAGCTAATCTGGTTTACATTTTTCTGCCAGAAAGACTGTAAAAAAAAAAAAAAAAACAAAAAAAGATAAAAAATCAAATAAAACATGAAAATTAAGGTTCAATAAAAAATCTTCTTAAAGCCATTAGAGTAATCAGCCTAAAATAATAATTGTGAGCTACGCACTAAAAAAAAATCGCCACTTAATTTTGTTTTTTAATGGTTAGTATGAAATGTTCGTGATTAGAAAAAAGTTTAACTTAATAAGTTGCAGTTGTTTAGTATCTCTGTTGATCACCGCGTCGTTCTTTGAACGTAGAGTATTAATACTGTTGTACACGTTATCCAGTCCGTTATGTAAATACAGACGTAACTGTACATTCACAGAACAATTTATTTGAAATTTTATCTAAAAATTAGGAGCTTCATCATGCCTGGTCGATGTATTCAAAAGGTCTATGATCGGATCTTGGATCTCAAATATTTGAACGCTTCATGGTGATGTCTTTTCGAGAGGGCACTAATCGTACTGTTGTCCTGTTTCCATAAACATGATTTTATATTAAACGGCCAATATTTTAGTTAAGTCGAACAATTTATTTGATATAGTGTAATACGTGCGTTGCCTTTCAGTATCTGAAGCTCCAGAAGTGGCCCGCCCACCTCCGAAATTCGCTACGGTAGGAGATAATAAAGCAACAAACTATTTTGAAGAGAACGATTCCAGCAACAAACTCCGACAGGAACTGGTAATGTATTCTAAATGCGTGTTTGTAGAAAAATTGAAGGAATGATGGAAAGTCTTCGAAAGATATTAGCTTAAATAAGTAAACATCACCAATGGCTGCGCTATACATATACTAGGCAATGTATGGTGATATATGAAATGTCTTCATAGGACCGTTAATCTCTAAGATGAGAGCCAGTTTATTCAACGGAAAATGTAAGAGATGTAGCAATTGACTACACGGAGAAGTGCCACACATAATAAAAAAAAACAAAAAAACATCCTGTAGGGTTGTGATTAACCACGATAGCTAACACAATTGGCAGGGTGGTCAGTTTTTAGGTTGAGTAAACGTCATCTAGTTAATTTATGAATTTAGAACCTGCCTTTACCGTAATTGTAAAGGTATATGCCATGTGAGTATGTTTACGAATGCAGTTAACTTCCTAAGCTATATTGGAATAACCTAGTGACACATCAATAAACAGTGGTCTGACAGGGCTATTGTGTAGAACTATTGTGTAAGAAGACTTATTGTCTTCCTTGTAGGATCCCGCATTATACTAATATACATTAGGGCCACGTTCTAGTAATATGTCCAGTAACTATTGTCATTTTTTACACGGTGTCTTTCTTGGCTTGGGCAGCTGATGGCGTCCTTGAAGCAACGGATGCAGTACGAAGATGACGAAGAGATTCTTCCACAGGAACGGATGCAGGGGGGCGAAGAAGCCGAATGGGTACGTAGGACAACGCAGGTTACCGTAGGAAAAACTTATATGTTTTTCTCGGTCGTATGAATCAAGTCCGTTTGAATGTACAGCGTACATATGTGGACGCCATAGAGTTGGTCGATACGCACATTCACTGTTTTGCTTTATCTAGACGATGCTCGTTTACACAACTGTAACTAGATGTTTTTCGTCTGTGAAAATTGCGTAATATATGCGCTTCTCGACATTTACAAGGGCCATCATAACTGTGGGGCAATTTAAATGTTGCATGTGGATAGTTGTAAACATGACCTAAAGCTATACTTTAGGAGCGAGCTTCGATCAGTTTGCATGTTTACTCAAGGCACACCTATGCACACGCATGTGTTGTACTTGTCAGAATATACCATATAATCTATAGATTATTTTTAGTCCAAGATGAAATGTTTCGAGCGTCGCCTGATGCTGCCGTTGCAAAAGGTCGAATTTCGCCTCGTTCGCGCCCTTGAATTTCGTACTTAGCGCGGCACTTTGCTTTTGACGTCAGAAAATAATTTTTATTACAGCTTTCTCGTTGATTTTTCCTTTTCGAACTTTTTTTGGTTTTGTTTTTCTGCTCTTTCACACATTTCAGTCCGATTAACTGTGATAATTGTATTTTCGGTGCACGCTGCCATAGAAGTAAACTGGAATTTCCGCTGAGTGAAATTAGACTTCAACCACAAACAGGAGTATTGAATGAACGGCAACGTAGAGTCTTTGCTAATTTGTCAGAAACACGAACTGCCCAGTGTTAAAAGAGTCTAAAAATTAGGAGAATTTCAAGGAGAACTGTCGCTGAGAAAAACATTATCCGGAAATCTCTGCGCGCAGTTTCACCTGGATAGCGATTCGATTTAATCCGCTGTTGACCCTTCTTTGGAGGTTAGTAATAGACCGCTATGGTCGAGAGAATGGATTGACAAACTATATAAGGTCCTTCGTATCTATTTATATATTGTCGCATGTATAAGCTTGCTATTATTGCATTTTATTCTTGAATACGCATTATACACAATACCAATGAAAACAAAATGTATGTGAGAAATAGTCAACTTCACACCAAACGTTCTTGTCGGCTCCCGTTGCGTTTTATCCGTTACATCACCCGCCCCATCAGTCGGTGTTACTATAACATTAAATAGACCAAAATAGCAGCATCTGCAGACCCCCTGCTTCCAAAATGTTTAACACATTCCAGATAGTTATTTTCAGCAATTCTGACCGGCCATTAGGATGATTGGAGCCGGTCTATTCCGGAATATTTTCAAGCCAGTATATTTTCAAAGCCGGTTCCCGATTTTTGTACTCAATTAGAGAACAAAAAAAAAAAAAGTCCCTATATCGGAATAAAATACAGCTTAGACATTTTTTCCCGCTAAGAATTCACCGTTTTCTCGGTATTACTGACCTTATGTACCGCCTAACCAAAATCTAATTTGCTTCCTGTGTAATCTCTGGTTAAAATTGCTGAAATTATTGACATAAGCTAAGCTAACATCAGTTGATCTTGGCGACAGAAATTGTGAAATCAATTTTACTGGTTTGGTATATGGAAGCACGTATCTAAAAGTCTACATGTATGCGATCGTTGCCATGTGAAACTGAAAACTTGATTAAGCTGTATGTGCGAACAGAAAACATAACTAGACGTATGTAGGTCTGTATATAGAAGCTTATTAGGAACAAAGCTTTGCACACGCTGACGGTGAAATTCCCTCGCGGGGGATCCCCGTAGCGAAGTAACCGACGTTGATGAGGGGCACCACGGAAGGCTCACGCAACCCTTCGTTAAAACATAGTGACAGGCGGGAAAAGGCAACCAGATGAAGGCAACAAAGAAAATGCGATCGAGAGATGGAAGGACACAGAAACGTAACGGCGTACTGCTGGTGTATACTGCGGAAGGTAAGGGATCCTGTGCCGGGAAAGATGTAGTTAGAGTCTTCTCCTTTATATTTATAAGCCAACGGAGCCGAAAAACATAACCAAACATTTACGAACGAATGAACAACGTATGTAGCGATACGGATATATCAAGAAAGCTAGGCTTGATTTTAGGGAGAACTCATTGTCGATGAAAGTGAATGATACAATCACACTAATCCCTACATGTTCTGTAATTCTTTTTTACACTAACATTTACATATGTACATTGGAGTCAATTGGAAGGACAAATGAGAAAATACAAAAACAGTCATCGTTATTACGATTATCCAGACGCAACAAGCCGTACAAGGCAATATAACACAAAAGATTTATACACACGGCGCATTGTATGCATCGGAGTTTTTGGGATTATTCCTTTTGCCAAATACAGTGCATTAAAATCCAATGCTCCGGTAACTAATTGATCTTGAGCCAGTTGTTCTATAATAGATGAGCTCGGAATGAAATCAATCAACACGATGGTCAACAACAACAACGAATTCTGCTGTTCAAGCACCAATGTTTCTATAACCTCCAATCAATATCCGTACAGCGCTGAGATATAGATTACATAGTCATGACGTAGATAACAACAAAGTTCTCGAGCTTACGTACAGCAGGGTTATACAACATGTCATATACTGATGTGTGAACAGTTTAGACATAGTTTGGATATGATTTGTATTAGGATAGGCTCTTAACTTTAAGTTACAGTTAAGTATGCTACTGCTTCAGCCATAATGGTTTATATTCGCTCGATAATCTCCGCGCAAGCTGGAATACATAGTGTCGAAATTTATACCCCTGTATGAGATCTTCTATTAGAACATTTTATTTTATTGTTAGTATTATTGTGTGTCGTTTCGAACGGAGCCTGAATCGCGAAAACATAAGTAAAGTAGAACGTGTGCATATTATAACTCATCGAGCCATTAATCAACGACCTTTACGACGGCACAGCGAGTAAGATAGTTTGAGTGTCTATTTTTTCTATGATAAAAATGAAATGATGGTGATAGGTAACGTAATTGTCAGTGGTTAAATTTTGAAATGGGTTTCCTTTAACGATACGTAGATTTGTGAGGTGTATAAGAAACGCTGTTCGACTACGGCTGCGGGTTTCAGCACTATACATACAGGGAAAAGAGAACGCACCTATACGCAGTAACAAATGAATAGAAGAGATACCACACGAGAAGGTGTACCTAAAATGGAAAATACTGGCAAAAAGAGCGGAAGGTTCTGACTGATTGTAATGGAAAGCACAAACGGAGATGACATGTGTTCCATCTATTTGGGTAACGTTTCAATGACGCGCAATGATGTCGATGCTTGGAGATCTCCCAAAAATGTGTGTATATATATATATATATATATATATATATATATATATATATAAATTACAAAATACATAAAAAAAAATTTACAGGATGGTGGGCCGACAAAAAAAATTAAGTGTGAACAATTTGCGGTGCACTTTGTATCACACCAAAAGTCGTAGGTGTACGGTAGTTTCGATCGATATCGATAGAGCATCACATTTAGTCTGATTATGTAGCCATTTCTTTTTTGTTATTATTGGTGTCGCGCCGACCTGTCTGAGCTTTCTTTCTTATAGCCTGCATTACGATTCCCTAGGGCTGGAATTAGTCTCGAGCACAGACCAAAATATAATATGACGCATCGAATCGTGATAATTCCCAGCTATTTTTCACCGAACGTGAATAGCTTTTTAGTGGTAATGCTAAAAATAGCAATCTGTATTAATGTATTTTTTAAAATTTGTTTTGGAGGCAACGTTTAAGCGAAATGCGAAAAAAAAAAAAAAAAAAAAAATGCTCATAGCTGCTAGAAAGACGACGTTTTTGCTCTGTGTGATCACCTATACGTAGAGTTAAGTATAATTCCTTTGTTGAACGATCCATGTGATATTGGCAGCGATCATATCTATGTCCCTTTGAGCCCTGTATCCGTATTCATAAGAGCACCATGTTGTCGTTGAAGTATTTATTATTAATATGATTGTATCTCTCTCTTCATTTTCTATTGTGATCTTTTAAAACATTATATTTGTTAAATGCTATTAAAGCAATGGCTATTCTATAGTATTTTGGAGCAACAATTATTCGAAGAATATTAGGAAACAGTAGATAAACATTAGGTTTTTCTAGTGTCAAAATGTATGTAGAGCATAAGGCTCACCTTCATCGACCTCACTGGTTCATTAGAGTATTATAACGGTTATTATTAAAAGCGTGTGTTTGCAATCTGATCGCCGTTACGGTTTGATCAAGAGAAATGGAGAATACTGCCTAGGCATATTTATCACTGCTCTTTACGTTTCGACCTATAATAATTCCACTCCCTTCTGCCGCCTATCTATAGTACAATCAATTCTAGTTTATTTCAATTACGATGACATAATTTCAACAAAAAAGAAAAAAAAGATCTGTTTGTAACCGCCACTGTTGATGGATATTATCAAGCAATATATATATATATATATATATATATATATTTACTAACAAAACGAGCAAACAAGTAACGTTTCGTATACATACACTTTGTATTGCTCATGAGTATTATGATTACACTTATGTATGCTAGAAAATGCAACAGCCACAGACACTAATAATACGAGATGAAGACGTTTGAAGCTTTTCACCAGTATGTACGTACATGCATCGAGACGTCTTACATTCACTCACTCACTCACTCACTCACTCACTCACTCACTCACTCACTCACTCACTCACACACACATATATGTATGTATGTATACATATATAGAAAGAGAGAGGGGCGGGGGGCGAGAGAGGGTGAGAAACAAGCTGTGTGTGTTTGTGTGTGTGTATGTGTGTGTGTGTGTGTGTGTGTGTGTGTGTGTGTGTGTGTGTGCAGGAATGTGAACGCCCGTAGCTGAAGCCAGATCAATGAGGATAGAACTAACACTACTATAAACAATGTAAAATGTGTGAATTTCTTAAGCGATAAGTAGGCCATTCTTGTTTAGTAACATTCGGTATCTTCGCCTACTGTAAAAAAACGAATTGGCGATAGCTACATTTTTAATTTTTTGCTAATGGCGGCAACAATGACGATGGTATACTGATCGTGATGATAATAAAAGGTATTGACTAGAAAGAAAGACTCCGCTCAACGCATGGCGATTGATGAATGCACATGACACAGTCATCGATTTGTTTGTCCAAAATGTTTGTGAACTTTTCCGCAAGATAAAACCTAAAGGCTAAATGGGGAAGATGATCGAAATAACGACCAGCATTGTTTTGAACGACGATGTACTACTACAGTCTAGCATAGAATGGAATCTAGTCGGCAGAATTGACACCACGACCACCACCACCACCACCACCACCACCACCACCACCACCATTATTATATTTATTACACGATGAAAATGAATATAACAGCTGTCACTGTATTAATACACATATATATATATATATATATATATATATATATAAAAGGACAACTAGACAACAACATTCATTATATGTAACATTGACAGTAATAAATAAATAACTCTGATTATGCCAAGAGAAATTGTGATATTTAATGTTTGCCGAATGATTTTCTTCACCTCTAACCCGCTGTCTAGCGGTCTCAACTACGATGTCTCTGTTTCAGTACCGCTCTATTTTATCGCAACCCGTGCATCAATTCATTGAAAAACGAACGTTATTCGCACTAAGAATACTTTTAAGGAAAAAAAAAAAACATAAAATCGGTTAATATATGAAGTTAAAATTTCATGAGATCAAAAAGCTTTTTTTCAAAGAGACGCATTCTAAAGCTCCTCGGAATTCGTTTGTGTTAACTGGCTGCCCTATTTGATCGAGCAACTGGCCTATTAAGGCCATATTATCCCTGTCGACCCAATATAACTTGGCTTACATTCCTTGATGCTCTGCTCATTCTCCGCTTATCTACTCGTACGGCTCGTTTTCACAGAAAAAAAAAAAACAGGTCTGTTACGCAAGAACTGCACGTTCTAGAAGAAATCTCGATTCGCACTTTACGTAAAACTTGTTATCCATGCAGAATTCGTTTTCCTATTCCGTCAGTGCCACAAAAGACTGAACACCCTTGGCGGAACCTCTCTGCGAGTCACTGAAGGACTAGCTGGTGAAAGCCTTTAATATCGCAAAGACGACTGAAATCTTCTTTTTAGATGTAAAAATCAGCGAGGTTAAGGAAGGATCAGCAGTGGCTCGGAGAACAGCCGAACGCGACAGCTCAGTGTAGTTACCGAACAAGCAGCCTAAACCCAGTAATGAAGTTTGAGACATAGCTCGAAGCTCGTTTACTGCTATGTTTGTAACGAGTAGTATTTGAAATGCAGCTCGTTTGTTAGGAAGAAACGACTCTGCCATAGCCTTATTGCTTTGCACCTCATGGTGCCCACTCCAGGCCCTGCCGTATCTCCTAAATGGGGAAAGCTTCCTGGAGTAGTGAACACTTCAACACAGAAGGGTCGGCTAATAGCGGAGACGTTGCGGTAAATACACCCCACTTCGATAATATGTCCGATAAGCTTGAATGCACTATTTAGTTATTTCGCCGACGTACGCCACATGGTAAGATTCTTCTCTGCAGTTGTTAATGAGGAGGAACTGACGGATTTAAGTGCAGCTTACCTAAACTAAAATGAACAGCGCTACCGTTCCAGCAGGCCTTCGATACGAAGCAAGAATACCCGCTTTGTTTTTAAATTTTAATTGGCACCTCTTTTAGCAGACGATATAAAAGTAACGAACTTGTGCTAACGCCTTCTTTGGTATCAAAATTATCCAGGTGAGCTCGGTGTGAACAAGTATTCTGTAAAGAGGTACAACATGATGTTGTCTAAGTGCTATGCGAGTGTCATTCTGGTTTGTGCTAACGACAAATTGTTTTGCTGAGGTAACAAACGTCAAGGACTCCGATGAAGACGAAAGATACTAGGAGTTACTAAAGGAAAAATCTATAACTAGCTGAATGCTGAGCTATCGGCATCTTCAATAGTCTTCTTGTTGGCTCGTTTTGCTTATATCAAGATACCTTTCTCTAACGAACACGTAGCTCCCAGTAACCAGCGAGATTCATCTGCTGCCTAATACCTTACTGCGTCTCCTAACGCGATAATGATGCCATTTAATCAACAACAGCGAAATCTATATCTCTAAGAGACAAAGTGAACAATTCTCGCGTTACCATTGTACGCTTCTGTTATGAGTACAGGAAGTGTCTATTATTCCTGATAGCTAGTGATAAAAAAAATCAATGGCTGTCACAGGTGGAGAGCCGGTCTATTCCATAAAAATTGCTCTATTGAAGCACGTGCACATTTCTTTCTGTTGCTTCTCAAGCGTTACCGACGAAGTCATATCGCACATTCAGTCAGTGTCGTCACATTGTGCCACATTTGTTCCAGCGGAAAAGTCAACCCCTACTTCCTCCTGAGCGGGAATTCTAACACGAAGCTTTCATTTATCCCCTATGGTTCGATTCTGCAATCCGATTATCGTTCGTAGCTGATATTATTAGCCTCCGATCATGTAGCGTTCAGCACGTGACGGGTCGCTAACATTGTCACCATCATTACTGTTATGACCTCTCCGGTTGAGCCGTCACTCTTTCTACCCTCCTCACTGTCGAAGATCTATACAGTTGCCCGCCGTTAACCCCTGAAGTCGTCCCTGCCTTGAGTTGTCATTTTCGTTGAGAAACGCAGACGACACTCGAGACGACTTGAGAATAATACCCCACCGCGCTTGCCAGACACTGGATGATCTAGGCAAAAGGATGCATTCTTGATTCTACAATAGTACTCGACTTTCTCAGAGAGATGATCATGTTCTGTGCGCACATATTTTTTTTTTATCTACAATCAATAAAACCCGGCGTTTTGAGTTGACCAGAGAGCTTATTGTGCCTTCAGTGCCTTTAAATCTCATAGTGATACCTGACTCGTCGATTATCCCATCAAAGTTTTTTTAGCTTCGGATAATTACAGGGCCTTCCGTTAAAATGAAACTTTTTTACGTCGTCCTTTCGTAGGAGAGCGCTAAATGAAACCGGAGAGATATACCGATGAAAGTTTTGCATCTGCTGATAAAAACCTTACAAACGGATGTGCTCAATCAGTGTAATTTCCGTTCGCTCTGAGAACGGCTTAAATGCGGGGTCTAAATCTATCACATGCCCGTTTCTGAATTCCTTTATTGATTTTCCCAACTGTCGCGTTAATAGAAACAACGGACTGCTTTCCTAGGTTCTTTCTCAGGGTACGACATTGTTCGGTGCGTTACACTGCAATATCTTTCTAAGTATTTCTATGGTAATCGCGAATAAAAACAATAGCCAAACCGATTTTACTCTACGTATCTTTATTTTTTTTTTGTATTTAGGCACAATTTAGTGTGAGATGAGTAACACTTGCAGAAGCCCCTGAAGAATTACTTTGTGGCCTCATAATTCTGTTGGAGAAATTTCAAATTAAGCTAAGAGGATTTCATCTAACAGTTCATACAGCTGTAACTTGATTAGAAAAAAACTGTAACCAAATGAGAAAAAAAGTTTCAGGTTTATTCGGAACAATTAAGGTTCTTGTTCAAGTTTGCTCTACACATCGGATCTTCAACTTATCTAGATCATCTCTGTAAACTGGCCATATATCTTTGTTCAGTTAGCCATGTTGGATGTGCCAATAGAGTAAACTAGCGTTGTATATTTGCCTATATATTTTGCTTTTATCTTTAATCGTAAGGTAAGGATCATAATTTAATCTTTCAAATTTATAGAACATACAACTAAGTATTTTTTTTACGGCTGAATCAATATATTTAGACAGACATTAATTTTCTTATTGAATTGAGTTCATATCCAGGGATTGGGGTGGGAAAATCGCGATGACGCACTTGGGATAACCTAGCTAGATCTGACAGTTCTGCAAATGTTACATATTCGGTCAGTAATTTACATCTAGGTTTGAACGGAGTACTTTTGCTTGACTGAGCGTTCTGTCTTCAACTCTATGCAGGTGTCTCTGAGCGAAATAATAAACAAGATTAGGTCGCCTAATTCTAAATTCATTTCTACCACCATTTTTCCCAAAAGTACGGCTTTGTTGCCAAAGCTTTACTGCTTGCTTAAAATATGGTAACGACTAAAAAAGTTAGTTTATTAATATTTGCTTGAATGTTGTCATTACGTTAAGGCGTAAAAAATAATCGGGCACTAACTATGAGTGCTGCAGTTTATCATGGCTTTAACCGAGTAAACAGTCATAACTTTCTGATACCAACGATTAGGCAGTCTGGAGCTACTTAACGGGTGGAAAAGTTACAATAACTTCAAACTATATATTAGATGTAGCACCTATTATTATTATTATTAACAGCTATGTACTTTTAAATGATAGATGCTAAATTGCATTACCCAACGTTGTTATTTACGACTTTTCATTTAGAGAATCGACGGTATAACATAGTACGCCACCTATCACCTCCTTTAAAAACAG